GGTGTTCCTGCCTCTCTCCCTCCTGCTGCCACCTGCCAGAAGCAAGTGTGGGTCAGAGGTTGTGTGGGCCTCTTTCCCAAGGACTCAAGTCTCAGACCAGCAACTCACAAAGCCAGCCATTACTGGGCAGTGTTTCATTTTGAGGTTTACGTGTGGGTTTGGTGTCAGCACCCAGCTCGCTTCTCAATCAGCCATTCCCTAACCTGCTCCTTACACTACTGGCCCCAGGGCCAGCAGCCACCAAAACCACAGACGGGCAGACTCTCTGCTTGGGAAGAGGACATAGGAGTCCTACTGTAAGCAGTTGGCCAGCCAAGCCTTCTCCTCACCCTGCACAGGTCAATAGCAAAGCCGTCAGCACACTGGTATGTACACATAAACACACTGACACTTCCAGGGTGCCAGGCAGCCTCTATACATGAGAACTCTTCACTATTTGAGACCTTATTTCAGTTCAACATTTCTGGTCCTCTTTGTGGGCCAGCACTGAGGTCTTGGGACTCAAAAATGGTTGAGATATAATCCCTGATACCAGGGCAGTGTATGGAGCTGCAGAAGGCCAATGGCAAAGGCAGTCTTCCCATTCCTGCCTAACGGCCCTGGCTCCCCAAACCCTTGCTGACTAGTTTGGAGCTAGTATGGGTTTTGTTTGTTTGTTCGGTTTGTTATTGTTTTTGTTTTTAGTTCTGAAGATCAAGATCGGGACTTTATGCCCGCTAGACAAATACTCTGTCACTGAGTTTCACACTAGCCCCAGGAGTACTTTTTGGAGAGAAATTTCTACCCGCTAAGAGAGTGAAAAGTGGGCTCAATTTTAAGGACCTTCTTTTAAAAAAAAAAAAATGCTTGTGTGTCCTCATTTAAGCAAAGGTACAAAAAAAATTGAGTCATCAGCTTCTTGTTGTGCAAACCCCAAGAATTTCTCTCTGAAGTAGAGAAGATCCCCTTTGAAAACTCCACGGGGCCAGGAAGTAGCTGCCACCTGCTCCAGCTCGCTCTTTCACAAGATGATTTCCCTCTCACGCTCTGGGTGGGGTTGCTAAAATGGAGGTACTGGTGAAACCTCATACCTTGTCCCCAGCCCCAGGACAGACTCGTGGGGAAACCATCTCTCCTCCCCCACTGCCTGTTTATTAGTGGGGCAGAGTCTACTGACTTGAGTGGCCACATGTCCCCTGGAGGTTCTCAGTGGATTTTGATTCAAGATCCGTGACTTCTCTAGAAAGCCATGTCCACCCACTGCCTAGGATTTCAAGACTTCCCCTCAAATGGTGCCTGTATACCCATCCAAAGAGTCCATAAAAGCGGCTCTCTATGGGTCATTGCTTCCGAAATGCCTGTGAGGGAAACATGAGAGCGAGTGTCTGTGGGCTTTTCTTAATTTGCAGGCAAAGGGTGTTGCCCTGACTTGTCTCTTGGGCAAGGAGCAACCTCTCCCTTTTTGCCAAACCTACAAATGAGAGCATGTCTAAAGGGGCAACCGGACTCCGATAAAGGAACTGACTTATTCCAGCAATAAATAACAAGGTTGGTGTGCCTGACAGCTGTGGCTGAGCCCGGAGACAGGGACAGAGGAGGGCGAGGCAGAGCAGTCAAGAGCCTACCGTCTGCTAGAGGGTGGCAAGAGAAGCCATTCATGATCACTTTGCTGACTACAGGGGACTGGAACAGTGAAAGACAACACATTATTTCCAGAATCCTCCAAAGGTGGTGAGGGGGTGATGTTAGATGATGGGGTACTCCAACTCTACCCCTATGTTCTTGGGTGAGTCCCATTAGTTCTGAGTCTCTATTTCTTTATCAAGACAATGGTGTTAGGAAAGCACTAATGTGTATGACTACTGCAAGGCTAGGTAAGAAAACCTACCACTAAACTCCACCTGAATCTGAGCAGTGGGTGGGACTTCTTAAGAACTCCAGATGTTGAGTGGCAATAGTAACTTGCCAGGATTTTAAAATGGGGTACTCCTAACTTTTCAGTGATGTTCTGGAAGCATTAGAAGCCCTAAAACAAGATGGATCCCTCTTGAGCATCAATTTCCCTTAGGGAAATTAGTGTTCATTATTCTTAAACTCAAACTGGGTATATTGGGCCATAAAATACAAAACTGTGGTGAGTGTGAAGGGAGGCTGTACTGAAGGTGCTAAAACATTATCATGCCACACCCCCTTTGGCCACGCCCTTCCCCTCAGCTGTTCAGGGGAGATGGTGGGACCCCCACAGTTCTCCAGAGATTGGAGAGTTTTAGGGTTGTCCTTATGCCCTAACAGAGTGGGTGGGGAAATCACCAATCCCTATCTCCCATAGTCTGCTTCCTCTTGGGAAAAAGAAGGGCTTTTTCCCCCTAAATGATCTTTGAAGTTCCCATTTCTGAGTCTTGGTCAGTGAATCAGGAAATTTTTCTGGAATGAATTTAAGGAGTTCTGTCATAGACCAAGAATTTCATGTGGTCCAGTGTCCCCTCCTGTGTAGGGGGAAGTTGGCAGAAATAGAAACTTTTCCCCTCAGCTGCCTGAGTCTCCGACAGCTCATCCCTGCGTTGGAAGGAAGTGGGTGTCCTGTGAGGGCAGGGGAATAACTGAATGAATGAACCAAGTCTAACTTCAGTGGGGATGAAGCTCACTTCCGTACTTCTTCACATGGGAAGACTCCGCCAGGGCTCTAACTGCCAACGGAAAGCGGGATCCAGAAGGCTCTGGGTCAGCCCCAAGATGCTCAAATGCACTCCTCTTTCCCAACAATGGAAGGGAAATTTCCTAGCAATGTTCTCTGGGTGTGGAGGAAAGGACACATGTGCCTATGGAGACTCCTTCCCTCTGCCTTCTAACCAGAGACCCCACCGCACAGGGTGCCTGGGGCTGCTTGGTTTATCTGGGGACACGCTTCTACTTTTTGATTTCTGAAACAACTCTGGGCAGTTTCTCCTCTCACTGCACCCCTGCCCCACAAAACTTTGCCCAGTCTCAAAGCTTCCCCATCTTCCAAAACCAGTCACTCCTAGAATTTGGGGGGGGTGGCGACGATGGTGCCTCTTTTCTCCGCCCTGCCCTTTTTCCTTCCCTCTGCCTACCCAGACCCACATCCTCTAGGTCAGATCTCATTTTCTAGTCTCAGTTCCTTTCCAACAATTTCACAAAGGCATGAAAGTCAGTCCTAGGCAGTCACTACTATGGCCCTCGGTGGCCCTGCTTCTCCTGGTGCCACAAAATGTATACAACAGGAAGGCAAAAACCCCAAGGCAGGAGGGAGCCTGCTGATCTCTAGGACCTGACTCCCCAGGGGTCAGAGGGACCAAGGACCTGGGAGTAGGCTTTTGAGAGCAGCCAGGAGATAGGCTAAGAAAATACAGCCACAGCAAAAAGGTGTGGGTGTCCAACCTTTCTCCTTTTCCGAGCGGCCAGGTCCAGGGCTCTCTCTGCCCTTCCCCAACCGGTCCTGAATGTTTCTGCCTTCTAGGGGCTCCGTTGGAGCTCTGGTTCCCTTTGGAAGCCTCTGCTGTAACCTCTGCTGGCCAGACCCACTCTTTGCCTGATGCCTTTTTGTCTTTGTCCAGCACATGCATTCAGATATCCCCTGAGAGTCTAAGCTCTGGAAGTTAATGAACCCGAGTTCACACATGCACCACTCCACCCCTTGCTGTGTGAATACCAGAAGTAGTCACCTCTCTGAGCCTCTGTTCCCTACTGTTAGAGAGAGAGAGAGAGAGAGAGAGAGAGAGAGATTAACACTTCTCACCAAATCACCATGAGGATAAAATGTGATAGCATATTTGAAATGTGAACTATCTAACATAGAGCTTGGCACAGTAGTAAAGGGAACCAATAGAGTCCCGCAGCTATTCTTAACACTACTTGTATTACTTCTGCATCAAAATTCAAAATTTATGGTCTCCACCTAGCATGTCAAAATACCCAGGTTGAGCACCCCCACACTCGAATAGTTTTAATAAATTCTTGCTGAGAGGAGCTGAACTGCCTTCATGACCCAGCCGGCATTTCTTAAAAGAAAAATTAACTGTGCCGGTGTTAAACAAAGCATTCGTAGAATTATCTGTTCACATATAGACAAAGGAAGGGAATGTTTGGAATTGAGCCATATCGAATACCTGACCCTAACTCCTCCCCTCCACAACCACCAAAGCCACCAACCTCATTTAGATGGCTTATCATGGTCTCTGCATTAATGCTTGTGTGTTACCCTGATACAGGTCCCCTCTTGCTCTGAAGCTGCCAGTCAGCGAATAGGAACTGTGTTGCCCTTTAACTTTGCCGCACTGGCAGAACCAGGGTCTGCAAGTACTGGACAGCTGGTCTAATCATTGCTTCTCTTATGTGCCCTCCTTGGCCCAGGCTGGAACCTCTTGGGCATTCAGAGCGTCAACACAGAACCGGTTCAAGCTCCCACAAGTTAAAGCAGTTGGTGACCAAAGCAGACTGGAAAAGCCCCCCTCCACACACACACACACACAAAACCTGTCTAAGCCCGGAACTCACTCTCTTTAGTTTCCAGGGGTTCCTTTTGAAAAGATCATTGCCAACCCTCTGGCTTGCCACTCCCTGCCACCTTGAGGACTACCCTACAGGTTTCCCCTCCAGCTCTGCCCCAGTCCCTGCCTCTGCGCTGACACCCACGGCAAGCCCAGCCCTGCTTGGGGGAGCCCCTGGGCACCAGAGCCTGTTAGTCCGGACACCGGCTGCGTGCATCCAAAAGTACAGTTACTTTTGCGCCATGTGCTCCGACAAGCGCCAGCGACCTCGCCCAAATTCTGCGGTGGGCAACCTGCCCAGCCAACTTTCTTCTCCCTTTCTCTTTTTCCTTTCACCAAAGCGGCACTTCCCAATAACAAACTGTCCAACAGCGTAACCGCAACCCGAGCTTTGCTTTGCTGAGCTCACTTTACTGTATTCCCTACCCGGGCTATTCAACCCAGGGACATCCTGCTGGAGTCCCGGGACACTCTGCGTTCGCATCCTGGTTGCCCAGGCTAGGAGCCACTCACCGATTTGCTGCTGTGCCAGGCTCAGCTGCAAGAGGCAGAGTCCCCAAGCTGCGTGCCACCAACACTTGTCCATGGTGTGCGGGATGGAACCGAGGGATCTAGTCGTCTCTTAAAGAGGGTCGCGGGGAGCAGGGGGCAAGGAAAATGGATGGAACCTGTCACAGGCTGGGGGCCGCTGGGCAATGAGGCCGCCTCAGAAGTTGGCTGCCGTTTTTATTCCAGGCTTTGAAAGAGTGACCTAAGAGGGAGGGAGCGCTCAAAGACACACCCAAAGCAAGGGGGCTGTGACTAAGCAGCCAACGGAGGTTTAAAGACACACCAGCCTGCTTTCGCTGCTGCTCTGAACTCCTGCCCTGCTCTCCCTGGCAGCTGAGAATTGCTACCGCCCCCGTTTGCCCATGACCCATCCCCCAGACCACTCCACAGGTTTCCTTCTCTGGCCAGCCCTCTGCCTTGGGAAGCATTGCCTGGGACAAGGAGAATGACTGAGTCCCGTGACCTCACCCCTCCGAGTTCAGACTCAGGCCTCTTCTTTGCCTCTAAACTTCTGGGAACCTGGCTGTGGAATGACTATCCGGGTTTCCCCGGAAGCTGGACATTTCCTAGGGAGGAGCTCAGACAAGAGGGAGATCCTGTTGGGAGAATGGTGCCTTCCAGGCCAGGGTGGGGATTGAAAAGTGGGGAAATTGTGGGCATGTTCATTCCTCTTTCCCTCTGAGAGAAGTCCAAAAATCTCAGTGGGTCTCTGCTCAGGGAAACCTAGTGATGGCCAGCTACAGGAATCATATCTGACTCTACTCTGTCAGCCTCCCGTCCCAGCACGGCACCTCTATCCTTTCAAACCCACTCACCAACACGCTTCATTCATGGTCTCAAATATCTATTGATCCGTCTACCAGTTCCTTAAATCCTTTTAGGACTCACACATCAATCCACCGTCTTCGTATATGTGCCCCAACCTAGCCGTACTCCATCCACCACCGATTCTTACATTCATCCACCCATACAGTTTTCACCCACTATTCCATCGGTCCATCCTCATATCCCTTACACGCTGATCACTTCTTTCTTGTTTGCATTATTCTCCCTTTGCTGCAAACTTTAATTCACTTCCCTTTATTTCTTACCTGATAACTCACAGAGCATTGCCATATTCTTCAAGGGAGACATTTCAAGGCTGAAAACAGGGTGAAATCATATTTTAAATCACAATTCCTTATCTTCTCTTATATGCTGTGGTTACAGTTTGGACAACAAAGGCAGTGTTTATTTTTAATATAAAGCACTAAAAGCAAATCCAAATGAACTTCATGCCGAATGGGAAACATGGAAAACATGCCTGTGGCAAGACCCTGAAGGAACCACGCCAGAATTTCTGAGGGAAAGTGATGTTTTGGGATTTATGGGAAGAAAGGGAAAGTGAGAGAAATGCATCCAGCCACCTGCCCACCCGTTTATTCATCAACGCATAACGAGTGCCCATGGGTATCAGGATAAACCAAACCTGCTTTGTCCCCAGGCACTAGCTTACAGTCACAAGCCAGCTGCTGCCTACAACATGAACTATGCTGTAAAATAGAGCCAGGACTGGAAAGACGGTTCAGTGGTAAAGCGCTTGCCACCAAGCATGTGACCCTGGTTTGATCCTTGAAACTCACATGGTGACTCACACAAGTAATTCTCTACCCTTCACATACATGCCATGGCATAAATGACACACACATACATACACATACAAACACACATACACGCACATGCACAAATATACACACTCATACATACACACTTATACACTCACACATATACACATACATACACGCATACATATACATGTACACACATACATATATATACACATATAGACACATATGCACATACATACATACACAACACACACATGTCATTCCTTATCAGTAGGATATCACTCTCAGAACACCCAAGATGTATGTGTGGTATGTTTTTAGGATGCCACCAAGCCTGAGATATGAAGAAAGAAATCACAGTATTTTTTAAGAACACCAATGAGACATTCAAGAGAGATGATATTTGGGGCAGGTATGGAAAGAGAAGGAATTTTTGAGAAACTGAAGGGACATGTCACTCACAGGCCATTCAAGCTACTCCTGTCAAGGAGTAGCTGAGATTCAAGACTAGAAAACCCAGCTCTTAGTCCTGTTCTGGTTGCTTACTATTTTATGGCCTCAAGATAGGCAATGAGCTTTTATGTGCCTCCATTTCCCCAAGTGTAAAATGGGCTTGAAAACCGTATCCACTTTATAGACTTGATGAGAAGGGAGTGGCTTTGGAAGCCCTGCATTTCTTAAACACTGATATGTGTATGCATGTATATTTGTACACATCATACATATGTGTGTATAATATATGTATTCCATATATATAGACAGAAACGGTGTGAGTGTTAGATCAGATGCAGACACTGAATGGGAGAGAGCAAGACAGATGGCTAGAGAAGCCTGCAGGGGCCATCTCTTAGATAGCAGGGAACTTTGAACTGGATTCTGTAGGAAACCAAGAGCCATCAGAAATTTTTTAAATGATTTTTATCTGAAAATGCACATAGAATAAAATGTACTGTTTATCCACATGCTAGCACAGTTAGATGGCATTTCGTTATTCACAGCGTTTTGTCTCCTGCACAGCTTCCTTGTAGGCTGTACAGTTAGAGAGAGTCTTACACTAACATTTTCAGAGACAGCGATGGGGCTGCAAAATCACTGAACCAATTGCCTAGCCGGTCTGTGACTGACGGGGTGTGACTCGGGGATCTGCCTTTCTGAGATGAAGAAGGTTCCTCTTGGCATCTAAACACCAAACACTTTAGAACCATCAGCAGCTGGAAAGAGCAGAACACCCAGCTATTTGTGACCCAGAGATCATTTACTTCAAGTTCTAAAGGCCCCACCATTTGGGATAAATATCAGCGTGGGTTTGGTGAACTATGGATGGGGGGTGATTTTTGTCTGTTTCTCTTTGAAGATGGGGGAGGAAAATAGGTAGTCACCAGGAATGATGTTTGTTTGTTTGTTTGTTTGTTTTTTGTGGAACTCAGAACAGGACATAGAGTCTAGAACCGAGGATTCACAGTGAGCTGTATTCCTCCCTGACTCTCATCCTACAATAGAAATTCCACATGGTCATTTTTATAAGTTAGAATACCATGAGTTAATTTTGACAAAAATTTTACTCTTGAAAAAAAATGGAAAAAATAAAAACACCAAACTAGATAACCTCAGACCCCACCTAGCTGAACTCTTTTTCTATGGCTTCAGTAAACAACACTGCTCAAAGGTGTGTGGTAGGAGAAGAGGTGGGGGCCGACTGAGAATACTTTGCAAGCTGTAAAGAGACATGCAAATTCTCTAGAAATTATTATTAGGATTCTTTTCCCAGAGGGGAAGGGCTTGCTGTTTCTTCCCGATAGTTCAGTGAGGGGCTGAGACAGCTCGCCCTGATGCCACAAATGACTCATTTTCAATAATAGCCTTACTGAGTCAGGCTAGTCCTTGGGAATTCCTGGATTATCTCCGAGCCCCCTGGAGCCCCTTTCCAAACACCTCACCCACACCACAGGCCACAGGGTCTTCCCCAGCTTCTCCTATGCGCCCGTGTAAAGGTGAAATCCTTAAAATGATTTAATTTAGGCTCTTGATATCAGTGGTGCATTCGATCAGTCACCTTTTGTAAACCGAACTATGGATGTGGGAAACTGGAATGGAGAGTTTGAATTGGTGGGGCTTGACATGAGGTCACAGGACTTGGAAAGAAGCCAGAATGCCATCATCAGCCTTGAGCTGAGAAAGCCCAAATCTGAGCGTTGGCTCTGCTGTTATCAGTGACTTAACCTCTGGGAGATTTGGGTTCAAAATGAGGGTAAGGGGATCAGTTTCATAGTTTAGGAATGCAAAAAAAAAAAAGAAAGAGGAGGAGGAGGATGAACAGGAGGAAGAGAAGAAGGACGAGGAGGAGGAGGAGGAGAAGGGGACGAAGAAGAAGAAGAAGAAGAAGAAGAAGAAGAAGAAGAAGAAGAAGAAGAAGAAGAAGAAGACATAAGGATCTGCCACTGGGATACCTGCTTGGTGAAGAGATCAGTCACTACCCTATGTGCTGCCTGAGTTGCATTCAGGGACAGGATTGTGTCAGGCACTAGTATATTGGTTGCAGTGTATGACATATCCCAGTCTCTGGCTGTATCTATCATGATCCAAAATAAGCACCTTACAAATGCATGAGTGAGTCCCGCTCTCTATCTTCCCCGTCACAGATTATGGGGTGTTTCAGAATCCCAATGAGCTCAAAGGTAGATGCATGTAGGCAACTTGGGGATTGCTGAACCCATTTAGGCACTACTTTCTGTAAAATGACCCATTTAGCAGCCTGCATTGAAGCCTGCTCCCATGAGGAGATTAGATGCTCTCACAGAAACACTGGGGTCTGGCGACTTCTGATGAATGATAATAAATCTTAATGTGAATGGAAATGTGAGTGACACGGCTGGGAGACCCAGGGATGGAGGAGGAGCTGTGCAATCGCTGTTTCAGAGACAAGGATCAGGCTGTCAGGGGAAAGGCAGAGGTACCGTTAAAGTTGAAACTGAACTCTCCATGGAATCCATTCTTGGTTCACAGCCATGGGATGAATTCTACACATGCAAATGATCAAGAGTGAGAAACTCTCATGAAATCATCCTAGTGGAGCCTAACAAACTGATAACTAGGGATGAGTGAATCGCCATTATAAATGAGAAAACTTAAATGACTATTCTTCAGCTAGCAATGATCATGGAGCTGGGCCCTTAGGATTGGTAAAGCTTTCAAACTGTGGCAAATGAAGTAGCTGGTGTAACGGCTGCACTCTGGGAGATTGGTCATGTCAATCACAAAGTGGCTTTCATGTAAAACTTTGGGGGCTGATGAAGTAGCACCCAACCCCCGAGTTGGTTGGTAACAAACTTAGAAATGTGTTTATTTGAGTATGGAATTTGAATTAATTTTTCTCTTCATTCATTCATTCATCCACCCAAGCATGCATATATTATACCACTCATAAATACTGGATAAATTTTACACATTCTTGGTTTTGAAATAGCTATCATAACCATTCCACCATCACCATAGCCACCGCCATCACCACCACCACCAATGCCATCATCACTATCACTCCCAGCACAATCATCAGCCTCATACCGCTGTCCTACCTTCGTCTCTGTTGCTATAATAA